GCTTGCTCAAACCTTGCTGGGATTTCATCAAGACCAATTTACCAAAATATTCTAAAATGTAGCACCAGAGCAGCAGTCAGCATTGCATTTCCCAGATTATTCAGGTGACTCTGTGAGTTACTATAAAACCAGTCCCTAAAGACATACTGGGACTAAATAGAGCATACTGAAATCTGCCATAGTGATTTATCTATCCCTAGGTTGCCTAGTTCAGTTCATTTGGCCTGAAACCAAGGCGAACTTCAAAGTTTAGAAAATAGGCCTCAGTCTGAAAGGTTTTATACAAGTAGTCCATTAATTCTGCTTTAGCAACAATATTAATGATTGTTAATTAATCTGGCATTGTGGCACACCATACTAAACAACTGATCTTGTGGGCATCATATACTTTAGGGGCATGGGTAATAATGTTGGTTCTAGATGGAAATGTATGAAATTGAGCTGTGTGTCTATAGCTTGCATCTGTGTTGCAGAAATCCCAACCTCTTCTAAGTGGTAAATACACTAAGGCAATGGAGCCAACCTTTTGGCGCACACACTACAAATTAAGCCCTGTGCCATCCCAAGTGCCACTGCAATCCCCTTACTTGACCTGATCTGCTGCACTGCTTTCTGCTCCCTGCCCAATATACTGCTTTGCTTTCTGCTCCACACCTTGTGCTCCTCTCCTGATTTGCTGCTCTGCTTTCAACTCCATGCCCTACCTGCCACCTCTTTGATGTATGGTGTGCCACACACACAGGCTGCCCATGCCACTTGTGGCAGGCATGTCAATGGTTGGCCACCCCTGTTGCACAACTCACAATCTGTGGGCTGTATGAGGTCCACCGGAGCAGTCCCAGTTGCCCAATTAATCAATCAATTAAAAAATCAATTAATTTATTAAATAGTAAAGAATTTGAAAAGCAGAACAGCAAGTCCTGTGTCCTCATTGCATTGCAGTTCATTAATCTGTGCATGTGCCTGCATGTGGAGTTTAGTTTCCCACTTGCAAATGTGCTGAGCCCTTATGGCAGTGATCACCAACCAGTGGATCTCAATCCACCAGAGCTTGACTCAGAGCTCAATTGACTCAGAGCTTCTTGGAGTCAATCCAAGGCTGGGGTGGGGGGCTGAGTGCCTGTGTACATGTATGTGCATGCCTCAGGCCAGCAGGTCAATCTGTGGGGTTGGGAAGGTGTGGGGGTTAAATCGAGGCCTCTGTGGTGAGGGACAGTACTGCAAAGACAGGAGCAGGGATAAGTTGAGTGGGGCCCCGGCCAGGTGGGACTTACCTGCTGGGGAGGCACGCCCCCAAATAATTTTTTCTCTCTCTGCTTTGATCTCCCCACCCCCACCCCGCCTTCCCTCCCCACAGACTTACCTGATGGGGGGAAGGGTGGAAGTGGGACATGGTAGATCTTGGGTTGCTTTTAAATGCCAAAAGTGATCTCCTACTTAAAAAGGTTGGAGACCACTGCCTTACAGGGTGGATCCCTCCACTGGAAAATGGCCATCAGCGAAATTTTGAGCTATGCCCTCCTGCACAATGGGCTATGCTGAGTACTTGCAGTACCCACTGAAGTCAGTAAAAACTGTGGGTACTCAGCATCTCTGAAAATAAGATCATATGGGAACAGGACCTGGGAAAAACATGTTAGAGTTTCCTTTACATTGTTGCATAATAATAGCCTCTACAAAAGTTATGGAACAGTCAGGCTGCAATCAACATTGCTAGCATTAGCATTTACCGTAAAGGACACAAAATAAGAAATGATGAATGTGTTAAGTACTGCTGACTATAGGATTCTAGGGCTTTCTGATTTATGGCCTGATAGTAAGTGAAATGAACTTTGGTCTTAGCTCCAGTCACTATTATTCCCCTATTCACACCTTAAAACCAACCTGCGTTAGACAGTCCAGTTAACCTCCACTGCTATGGGAAGAAACCCTGCGCTGTTACTGTGGTAACTGCATCACTTTTCACTTCAAGACAGAGCAGTTCATGTAATGTATTATGAGATGCAATGCTGTGGTCAGGCGGCGAGGCAAAACGTGCAGTCTGTCTGACAGCACAGTGCTTGATCTGTGAATGAATAGATGGCTCCCAATTAGTGTGTTGTTCTGTTTTAACTTTAATAACCATTGTTGTAACTCCAATCCTGTTTACAAAAGGAGGAGTATCCGATATTTTCATACAGGTGTAATTTTTTAATAGATGCTCAACACAGTAGATCCCACTATTATAATCATTATTATACTATATACAGTTCTAAGGTGCCACTATACTATATACAGTTCTTGCCACTGAACTGAGTACGGTCACATAAGGATGAAAGAACAGGAAAAAAAAACCCTTCAGACAAACACTGCTTCTCCACTCAACTTAATTTCCCTTTATTACAAGACAGCCCAACTAAGGTATTTCAGCTGGGATTTTAAAAGCAGGTAAAGACAGTTAGGCACCCAAATCCTATTGACATTCAGTAGGAGATGGGTGTGCAACTTCTTTAAGGTCCTTGGAAAAACCCAACTTTCGGTCTCACAAGAAACATGGTATGTGGGGAGAAAATGTAAGCGTGTTATTTTCTTCCTATTTCCTGTTGGGTTGCATGTAAACTGAAATGCTGAATAATAATGACTGCAACCTACAGCATTTTTTTGGTTTGGTAGGGAGGGGAGGAGTCGTCGTCTTTTTTTTTTTTTTTTTTTTGGTTCTCAATGATGTGAAGAGAAACTCTATCCTGGGCCTCGATTGTTATTGCCATGCCACTCTGCACAACAGATGATAAGAAAAAAAATGACTGGACTAACAGGAGGCGGGATTCATTATTCCCGTTATAACCCATTTAGGTTTATAAGCAGCTGAAAAAAATGTCAAAGGGAAAATTAACATGCTTATAGTCCTTCCCCCTGCCAGCCCACACACAACACCATTTTTTCCTTAAAGAGCTAAATCATCCAGTTTGGTTTTCTTGTAAGAGGCATTAAGCTGGGAGAGAAGCAGGGGGGAGCATTTCATCCTTTTCCTGAGGGAATTTTTGTTCTTTCATACTAACATAATGGTGCCCAGCTACAAGAAAAATGAGCAACCGGGAGATACATTTAATAAATAATGCACATAAACACACAAGGTAGTTTCTGAGCAAAGTAAAGTAGAAACTGGCCTTTTTAGCTCATGACTAATGTTGTGGAATAATAAAACTCCTTCTGAGATGTTGTTGTCTGGCCTGACACACTTTGTTTTTCTCTTTAACAGGGGAAGTGTTCTTGCAGATTAAAGGCCCACTAGAAGACACATATAAAATATATTGCTATCACCACGACGAGGCACACACCATGCTGGAATCCTATGAAAAGGATGAAGAACTGAAGCAGCATTTAAGACACTGTGTACAGTCCTTAAAGTAAGATCTTTTCAAATGATGATTTCCGTCCATAGTCAGCTGCCTGGCAGGGAACATTTTAAATGGATGGAGATGAAAGGTCCCCTGTAAATCCAGAGGTTTATGAGGCTTGCTGGGAGCTCTGGCTTATGCGGCTTTCATGAAAAGATGACAAGCCAGAGGCCATGATTAGATTTCCTTCTCTCTAAGATGGCCAAAAATAGCACAGGGAAGGTTTCTGTTCCCTGAGCTTCAGTGCCCCACACTGGCAGAAAATAGCAGCATCATAAAGTCAGACATGGATAACATCCTGCCCAGCCCCCACCACACCCTGCCCCTATTTACAGCAATTCTGTCAAATGGGAATGCGCCATACACTGGAATTAAAATATCATACCACATAACCATTTGTTTTCTCTGACAGCCTATTGGTTTTCCTATATCCTTACAGCTTTTTCAGACCGTGGGGATTTGAACTGACTGCAGTATCGGATAGGCTACATTGTAGATATTAGAAATCACATGCTGGGGTGGTTTGGATGGCAGTGAATTTGCTCAGTTCCACCTCTTCCATATCCAGTAGTTCTGAGATGTCCCATTCAGGGTTGGAGAGGAAGGGGGATAACAGCTCCTATCTCTGAGATGAATCTGCGTTAGCTGTTGGGACAGAACACCTCTATCCCAACCTCCAAATTCCCTTGCCCTAAAACATAGTGTAGGACTGGCAAAACAGAGCATGCCAATATAAATTCATTTTCTTTGAGTAGGCATTGCTGGAGACATCTGTGAGAGGTACTTCAAAGTCTCTAACTAATGGATTGCCTATTAAGGGAAAAGTTGTACTAAGCAGGTTGATGAGCCTTTGGACTTACAGCCTGACTTTGCTCCTTTTAAATACAAAACTATAGTCCTTGCACCAAAGAAACAAATAAAGCAGTAACTGGAAGTCTTTAACCATTCTCCAGGCAGCGGGAGGGGCCTTTTAGCCCTGGCCCAATACAATAGCACAGCCCCAGTCTGGTAGCAGACTTATTTGGGTCACAGTTACCTCCTGCCTGCAAACTACTCCTTCACCCAGGCGGCTCCTGCTGCCCTCTCTGGGGTTTTTAAGGTACTAGTGGGATACTCCTTCATTATCTAAATGCCCACAGCTGGGCTTGTTCAACAGGGCTGCCTGCCAGACCACCCTGTTGCAGATGCCCTTACCTGAAAACTGAAAGAAACAGATTTTCAAATAAACTCAGTCTTGTAAGCTAAAGGAAAGTGAGGCATGCCCCTAAGGCCATCTTACTATATTCTTTCCCAGATAATCAGTGGAAGCTGTTACTGTCACTCACCTATCTTTATTGCTGAGGCCAGGGGAGGTGGAAGAAAATATGGATGAAAGGTAGAGTCCATGTGTACACAGACATGCAAGATTGCATGTTGCCTCTTGAATCCTAGTTGATATAACCAGCAGGGGTGACTGGTGCCGCTTTAGTCGGGATGGGCCCGTGCCCCCTCCAGCAACCAGTTAGCAACCCGGGGCGGGTCCCCCCACGGCCAGTCTCACTGACTGGGGGTTGTGGGGGGGCTTCCATGGCTGGCCAATCACGAGATGGTCAATTGCTGCAGCCGCTTCTAGGAGGGGGTGGGGGGCCAAGAAGTGGCTGTGGCCACTTCTGGGAGCGCAATGGCGCTCCACTCCCCAGCCTGGGCTTGCAGGGGGGGCACTGGTGCTCCCACCTTCTCCCCCTGCCCATCGCCTAAGCGGTGAGCGCAGCTGGTCAGGGGGTGCATCGGTGCTCTCAGGGGGTGCACATGCATTCCCATGCACCCCCTACACATAACCACTGATAACCAGTAAGAAAATTCCTGTTCTGTTTTATCACAGCTGAAAAGCGTGAGCCATTCAAAACTCTGCTAAATTTTTCAGTTGCAAATGACTCTAACTTATGGCACAATGGGTGCACCAACATGGACTATTAAGGTGAATCAATAAACAGCACTTACTGTGTTGGAGTTTATAGCTCCCTGGCACCGTGTTTACACATGCTCCTGGGACTGCAGCAAGTTGATGAAAGCCCGGATCACAGCATATTCATGAAGGCCCAGGTAGGGTCAGTCTGCCAGCCTAGGGCTGCTCCAGCCCAGTTCAATATACTGGGAAGTTCTGGCAGGGGCACGAGGGTGCTCCAGTGCAGGACTAGCCGGCAAGCAGTCCCTGCATCAAAGCATTCTTGTGCTCCAGTCAGCCACACAAACATCTACATGTGTAGTACTGTGGAATAAAAAACTCCACAGCAGGGTAGTACTTGTAAATATAAGTACTTACAAGTACTACCCTTAGGTAATTAGTTTCCTGCAGCCTAATAGGGCCACATGTGTACATGTGATATGTTTACTGGGGACCTAATTAGTCTACTCTAAAATAAGCATCTTGTGTAGATGCACCCAGTGAAGCCTTTCTTCATGCTGTTGTTTTGCAGTTAACCTTTAAACTTTTTTAGGGAAACCAAGAAAATAGTAATTGCATACACTGTATTGTGTTTGGGGTTTTTTTATCAGTGCATAGAGGTGGCAGGCAGAATGTATGTCCACTTCAGTAAGTGCCAGAAATGTTAGTAAAAATGAGCTGAACATACACAACCAAAATGTATAGCCAAGTTCAGCTGACCTGTTGTTACCTTAAAGCACAGGCCCAAAAGGGAAGCAGAGTTCCTACCATCTAAGATACAGACCTACCCTAGGACATAACACATCAGGGTGCCCACAACAGTTATGGTTCAAAAATGTCACTGCTTTAAAAAAAACTTGGTTGACAAAGTCTTACCAAATAAAACAAGACTGAAACTGGGTCCCAGTTACTGAAGGGACTGTCCATACTTAACTAAGCTTTATGTTAGCCCAGTTCCATATCAGGACTGCAAAGCTAATCATATTTTATTACCCTTGACCAGTCTCTCATTCCTCCAGCTGACTGGAAAGGAGTTTCGACATGCCAGAAATTCCAGGGAACATATAGACAACTGTCTCAGACATCAGCCAGAGTTAATCCTTTAGAATCCTAGGGCATTTATACACATGCTCCGGGAGTGGTGGGGGGGAGGGGTGAATGCTTTAACTGGAGCAACTCCAAGAGCCACTCTAATTAAAGTGCGTGGAGCATCTCATGCATCTTATGTATCAGTGACTCTGAACTGAAAAATGGCAGCGGGGGTGCTTTAATTAAAGTGTTTTTGACAAGCTTTTGATAAAGTGCATCCACTGCCATTTTTAAGCATGCCACTGATATACTAGACACCCTGGGCACTTGGGGCCACTCTAATTAAAGCACACCCCCAACTCCTGGAGCACGTGTATAAATGCCCTAGGATTCAAAAGGATTAACTATTGCTGATATAATTACAGCACATCAGAGCAGCCTCACTGCTTATGTATAGGTGCCCCTGTATTCCAACAATGGCTATACTTGCAGGTGATACTGTATGTTAGTTTAGCCAAGGGAATTAATTTGGCATAAATTAAATGATGTTGGAAATGATCTGCTTTATTTGTAGACTGAAGATGCTTGCTCACTTAAAGGGCAGATGTATGCACAGTGCTAGCATTACAGAACTGTAGTGGGAGCACCACTGTCCTGATGCTGTTAGCCAACAGTGGGTGATAGGGCTTGCGGGTGGGCTGCCAGAAAAAAGCAGATGATAGTGCTGTTGGGGAATTGCTTGGCATTTGACAACAGAGAAGTCAAGTATGGAAGGATGCTAAATTTCTAATTCCAGTGTTCTTGTAAACATATCACATTGTCCAATAGTCAAATTCCATCTCTAAGTTTAATCACATCTTTATTCAAATATCCTTTGTCAATGTACACATGGGTATGTTTGTTTCCAAACCAGCAGCACAGCCTGCTTGCTTCTTGCTGTATGAAGTTCATAGATGACACGTAAGTGTTGACAGTGGGGGAGGCACAACTCCGCAATGCCACTGCCACTACCACCACTGCCACCTCTGGTGCTGCCATGCAGCCCCATGCCCCGCTGTCAGTGCAGAAATAGCTCTGCTGCTGCCCCGCTGCTGCCAGGCCCTGGCTCCAGCAGGACTGCAGCTGCTCTGTCATTGCTATAAAAATCTCAGGGGCCGTGTGCCCGCTGTTTCCCTCCACACGTCACCTATGATAAAGTCACAATATTAGACTTTGGAAAACCTTAACCTGACATGTAACTTACAAAAAGAATTTTTCAGTGAGTAAACCTCTTAACCAGGGGCAGGCAAAATGCGGCCTGCCAGGCCAATCTATCCGGCCTGTGGAGCCCCTAAAAAATTTAGAAAATTAATATTTATCTGCCCCGGCTGCCTGTCATGCGGCTCTCGATGGCTTGCCAAAACTCAGTAAGCATCCCTCTGCCTGAAATAATTGCCCGCCCCTGTTTTAACTGACCCTGTATTTAAAAAAGACTGAACCATACCAGTGTTTCATTCTTTTTAAAAATGTTACTGGTATTTCTATTTAACTAGAATAGAGGGGAGGTATATGCAACCCAACTATTTTCATTTTCTTTTATTGATGAGTTATTTTGTAGTTAGGACTTATCATTAATTACTACTAGCACAATGTCCTGAACTCACTTATGTAAAACTATATATGCAAAGGTTGGGCCTTATAACCAAAGTCTGGTTCATTAGAGTCCTTTCCCATTAAGAGCTGTCTTTTCCAGAAGATGTAGGGCTTTATTCGCCGGTACCCTCTGGCTGCTTTGTGCAATTTCAGGACACAGAGCAACCATAAAACTAGCTTAACTGGCCAGTTACAGCTGCATTGCTTCAGTGAAGCGTATCAGTGAACCTGACCATGGTCACCATAATTTTTCTTATGAAGAAACTAATATTTGTTTTGTTTTCTCTTCTTGCAGAAAAATATACAAGGAACAGTAAGTATCATGCCATTTAGTAGATATTGTTGCTTTTTAGAAATAAAGTACTGTCTCTTTTTATTAAAAGACACAACTTATTTTCATATATACAAATGTTTAGAACCATTCAGAACAAAGGCACTGTTTTAGCAACCCAGTCAATCCTGTGCAATGACAAGATTTCTTCCAGATATGGGCAATAAAGACTTTCAGTCTTAATTTCTCCAAATCTGTTCAGTGCCATCTTTGCAGCCTGTTTTTAAACTTCTGGTTTATGAAGCTGGTTAATCTGGTTCCCTGTTCTTTTGGAGCCTGCTATAATCACCTTCCCTCATAAAAGATATGCTCACAAACTCCTGCTGTTCTAATGAGTGCTTCTCAAAAAACAGTGCTGGCCTTTGAAATCCAAGACTAGACCAGGAAAGATCTGAAGACTAGAGATTTAAACTCTGGACACAAAGCCCTTCTAGACCCTCTTAAAATAGCACTCATTAGGCCTTTGTGAACCTGCTTGGCTCATATCAGATTCTTGGATAAAATTGTTTCCAAGATTACGACTGTTTCTTCTCCCATAAGTAAAGCAATAAAGGAGGGAAGATTTCTAGACTATAGGTTTTTAAGATGCACAGGGCCATCATTGGTTCTGAAGATACTTATGGAGAGGGTTGTAAAGAGGATATAAATGAACCAATAAATTACAATTTACAATTCTAGACAACAATATTAAAATACAGAAGAAGGATAGTTATAAAGATGGATAAAATTCTTAAAGTACCTAAAACAGAGGGCAAAAACTTGAAAGAGAAGAAATACTAAATTAAAGTGCCATTTAAGAAAAAAAACCTCAGACATATGAATGTGTGTGCGCTTGGATGTCGTATGGTCAGCCCTGCCAGTAAGGTCAGGCAGGATTCCCAAAAATTGGTGGTAGCTTCAAAATGATGAAACTTAAAAAAAATACATAAATGTTGGGAAGGGGTGGGCAAGTGACTCTTGTATTTTTTTATCTTTATAGTACATGTTTTCAAGATTTTTTCTACAAATAAAAATGTCCTCTTTCTAACTGAAATTCTCACATATGCTCATGACTCCAGGAGCTGGGAGTTAAGGATATGTCCACACTGTGTCTTTGGCGCATTCTGGGAGGAACATGACCACACATACTTTGCCTACCCACTTACATGTGTAAAATTCAGAAGTACAGCATTAAAGCTGTTCCTGAGCTGTTTCCCATGGCTCCTCTCAAGCACACTGGAGACAGAAGTGAACAGCGGCCCCAGAGTGGTTTCTCCATCACATTTCCAGTTTGGCTTATACAAATGGGAGCGGGTAGGCAGGACATGGCCAAGCACGTTTCTTGCTAAGAGTGATGGGGACTGGTTATATAGATATACCCTGGGAGAACCCTGAAATATCGGAGCATATTGATAAAAACAGCTGACATGGCAACATTGTTTGTGTATATATGAACAAGTGTTAACAACTGCACTGACTTGCACTGCCCTATCTGAAATTAGCACACATTTTTCTCCTTCAAAATACTAGTGTGAGAATCTCTAGCTGCATTTAAAGGATTTGTAAGCAGGGCCATCCCTGGGGGGGAGAAACAAATTGGGGAGAAACGAATCGGGGAGACCACCCTGGGCCCCGCGGAGCCAGTTGGAGTGGCCACAGCTCCTCCTGCAGGGCCCGCTGAGTACTGGTGACTCTGCACTGCCACCAGCTTTGTATCTGGCTGCTTACCACCCCCAGCCACCTATGCTGGCTTCTTTGCATCTGGGCCCCACACAGGCTGATTTGCCTCAGGCCTCGCACCCTGTTATAATCATCTCTGATAAGCAGTTACCTCTTATGGGCCCTGCTACATGTTCAAATAAAACCTGGTTAGAAATATAGAACTGTTTCACATTTTCAAGCACTAACTTTGTAGCTGGTTAAATCAATAGTCATTTTTATGGTGTAATAATTACTTTGCACATGTGGCTGATCCAAATCTATTGCATGATTAACCAGTTAATTGTGTGATAATTATTTTGCACTTGTGGCTAGTCTTACTTTGCATGTGTGGCTGGTTTAGATTTAGTATGTGATTAACCAGTTAATTGCATAATATCAGTAATGTATAGCAGGAGCCTCAAGAGTACAAAGGAATGTTGCTCCCTGAATAGTGGAAAGCTCTGGGAATATCTTCTCTTGAGGTGTTCTCACTTTTCTTTAGATTTGTGCCTAAAACACCCTTGAACCCTTAGCTTGCAGCAAATGGCCACTAAGATGAAAAGATTAAGTCAGTAGGATCTTTTGCCTCTTCATCCTTGACTGCCCTTCATAACTGGTTTAACTTGAATGAAAAAGTACAACAATGTTTACCTAAAAGCATATTTGGTAGTACTGGAACTTTCAGATTACAGAATGCTTAACCTTCTAGTCTAACAAGGAAATGCCTGCTTAAAGATCAAATTGTATCCGTTGGATGGGTTACCCCCAGGTATCAAGAAAATAGGGCCAAGCTTTGTGGACTCTTCTGCAGGTCTGAGTGAGAACAGAATGTGATCCATAAAGAATCATTTGTCCTATATATATTGTGAAAAGGTAAATTTGCACACTAAAAATAATAATGTTAACAAAATATTATGACACATATACACAGTAACAAAACTGTCAATTTTAAAGTGACATTGAATCCACAAGGTAACTATCTATGAAATAAAGAATGAGACCCAGACTAAAGATTCAATTGCCTATCTTTTCATGGTTTACCAGCTAACTATTTAGACATAGGGTTTTTTCTGGTGTTTGACTTTATTGCATTGCATCCAGGGTAGAGTGCGTGCAGTGAAACCCACTACAGTTAAGCCAGCTGTGTTTACTTGACTGCAAAGCTGCAGTAATGATTTGCAATGAGATTAGTGCAGCTACTTATGGCATTAAAATACTTAGTAAATTCATGATAAGACTGGGTGGCTGAAGTAGCATTACAAATGAATTATCAACTTAATTTTCTGCACAATAGATGTCACAAGTCGTTACACATCTGTTTAAGTTGTGTGGCAAGGCTGTGCTCTGATTGGCTACAGAGTATTCTAAAGGGGTATATTAGAAACAGAACTAATCTATGGAGGGTGGTTATCATCAGATAATCTCACTGGGTAGAATAAGATGAGTTGAACTTTGTGGCATTTTGTGCCCCAGGGAGTCATTATCTCATAACAAACTTCCTATCTTTCAAACCATATTGCTAGACTGTGTCATGCAGATATGCGAACAGAGGGCTGTTTATCACTCGGGCAGCTGTCCAAAGAGCAGCCATATAAAGAGAAGACACTCGAAGATTTTTCCATTCATGAGACAGCTTTTAAAGATTTGCATTCATGGGGCTTTTCAGGGAAAACAATAACAATTTAAGATTTTCTTCATTACTGCTGCCAGACGCCAGAGGAAAGAAAAACATCTCTCTATATATAGGATATGCGGGGAGCATGGGGGCAGAAGAACAGAAACAATGAGAAGGCTCAAGGACACTCAAAAGCTTTAAAAGGATTTATTGTTAAAACTTCTTTTCGGCATGCTGGACATTTTACAGTTAGTGCCTGCTCATGAGAGATGGCTTAAATATGCAGATACCTCTTCTGCAAAGCATCTGAATCATTAGTTAATTAGTCAGCAGTAAGAAGTGTTGCAGCAATTTTATAGGAGGGTGCAAAGATCTTTCTGCACATTTTGTATGTTGTTTCCTTGTTTTCACACTTTCCCTCTGTTTTCCATTCTCTCATTCTCTTGTCCTGGTCAGACATTCTGGTTCACCTAGCATGTAACCTCACACATCTAACTTCAGGAAACATTATTTTTCCTTCTGAAAGCTCCTTTTTTAGGATGCAGTAAAAATACTGCCTTGTGTTTCTATTATGAAGAGCTGCCTTAGTCTTACCATTCTTCTTCACCTTATTAACAATAACTTGCTCCTTGCTTGAAAATGCAAACCTACAAGATGTAGGAGGTATTTCATGGAAATCCTTCCCCTGCAGTTTGTACCTTGGCTGTAGTAGAGTTACCCATTTTGTCCAGGATTTTTTTTTCTGAGAACACTCTTATGAGCAAAGAGGCCCCTTCTACCCAAAGACAGGTAAAAAGAAACAAAATAATTCCTTAAACAGACCTTCAGAAAGAGATGGAATCATGGTTTTAGAACATTTGTCACTTGATGGAGGTAACACATGGGAAAGGAAAGAGCATGATAGGAGAGAGTCAAGAGATCTAGATAATCTGGATTAGAGGTGTAACTAGCATTTTTGGTGCCCTGAGTGGGAGAATAAAAAGGAGTTGGAGGGTGTCAAGCCCCAGAGAGCAGGGAGAGGGGATGGGGTTCTGAGCTCCTGATGCCATGGTGTGGACACCCACGCATTAGCTGTTGAATAGGGCTTGCCCTGTCCTATTAAGCTTGAGGTAACTATCATCATTATGGAAGTCTGTCCAGATTAAATTTTGAATCCCTTTGAAATTCACCTTTTACTAACTGTAGTCCAATCCAAAAAACTACCACCAAAATATGGTGATTAAGAGGATATCAAATGACTGTGGTTATAATGGCAAGTTCAGAGGAGCTATGAAAGGTGGTATAAGGTATACACTGATAAGTGAATATACAACTCTGCTTTGATGTACCTTTGATATTAAGGCACCAGAACGAGGAGTCTACAAAGTCTGAACTGGGGTCACTTTCACACTGAGGGGACCAGTGGATGGTTACAGTTACAGGAAGCCAGACATCCTGTTGAATGCATCTCATCTTTGACTTAAATGGGAATTGCACCTGTGTCACTCAGTATAAAATGGGGCCATAATTTCAGTATTTTCAGTAGTTAAAAGCTCAACTGCAAAATGTAAGAAATATCAGCTTTGTTGACCAGATAGGAATAATACATTATTTTTCTTCAATACATTGTACCATACAGGAAAAATCTGTTTGTTTAATTATAGAGGAAAACCAAATTTGATGGACATGGGATCCCTGATGATCAAACCTATACAGCGTGTGATGAAATATCCCTTGTTACTCTGTGAGCTCTTGAATTCAACTCCTGCTTCCCACCCAGATCACAAGGCTCTGCAAGGTGCCCTTGCTGCTGTGAAAGACATTAATGTGAACATCAATGAACTAAAAAGGAGGAAAGATTTAGGTAGGAAAAAGAATGTACATTACTGTCCTCTGTAAGTGGGATCATAGATTGGCTTGTTATGGGTGGGGGGTTCAACTCATCTGATGTTATCAAGGATGCTGTTTTCTGGCTCTAGTTGAGCTATAAAACAGACTGGGTTATGAGAAGGTGTAACCGATATAAGAACTGAATTGTAGTTTCAAGTTTAAAACCAAACACTGAGACTAGATCACAAAGATTTCATTTCCAAAAGTGTAAAAAAGATTATAGCTTGTTAACATAGCAGCATTAGTGATGCAACTCTAAATATTACTAATAATTAGCATATAATAATAAAGCTATTTCTTACAGACCCACCATGTTGAAGTCTTAACTTTCCTACCTTTTTTCCATGTTAACAGTGATACTAATGAAGTGTTCATCATTTCAGTCATTTTCATACCATATTACAGAAGGTGGCATCATCAAAGTATATCGTTACAAATAGCTTCATATTAGAAAACCGGATGTGTAAGAGCCTGGTAAATACAAGTTATTAATGCTGTGAAATTTTCTATCTGCAGTGCTGAAGTATAAGAAGAATGATGAAGATGAATCTCTTAAAGAGAAGTTTTCCAGGCTGAATATTCACTCCATCAGCAAGAAATCCAAAAGGGTTACTAGCCATCTGAAACTTTTGACAAGAGGAGAACGTCAGGTGCGTAGTCACTTTCACAGTGCATGGTCACATAAATCTGTTTGAAAACTTGTATTGATAGTTCAGTTCTGCTTTTGTACTGAATTTTTAATTTCAATGTTTTGAAAATAGGTGTCATGTTTGGAATTTTTTAGTATCCTTTCCTATGTTCCACAGCAGAGAGAAAGAGGACTTTATAACTAGGGACAGACATTACACATAAACTGGTTTAAGTGATCAGAAACTGGTTTAAGCCTGTAACAGAACAGATGCTCAGTGCACATAAACCAGTTTGAAAATGTCTGAAATTAGTTTGAAATAAACCTGGTTGAATGTAGTGTCAGACTTAACTGATTTGGGTCAAGCCAGTTTATGTAATGTCTGTCCCAGATTCCTTCCTGGTTTAAGTTAAATCAGAGTCCCCCAGCATCCTGGCATGCTCTCTGGGCTGGGTGGGGCTCTCTGCTGGCTCCTCCCTTCTGCTCCCTGGCTGCAGCTCTGGTAGATACTGCAAGTACAGGGCATCTGCCTGGCTTCCTCCTGCTCCCTCCCTCCCTCTCACCACTCTCTGCTGAAGCATGGATTCCCCTCTCCCCTTTGCCTTACACAAACACCTCTCAGCATTAGCTAGCATGCCACATGCTGGCTACAGTCCATACTGTGGCAAACAGGGCAAAGGCAGATAGCACAGTGTTGGCTTAGGGCTTTTAGGAGCTAATCAACAGGTAGCTGGTAATGTCCCTCCATTCCTTCCTTGGAAAAAGTTTTAAGAAGAGCTTGAACCAATGAGAGAAGCTTTTGTGTTTCTTAATGGGCTGATAAACACTGAGTTAGGGGTGATGCACTGTGTTATCAACTCCCTGCTGGGCTGCTGGAGGAAGGGATACCCCTCACTAATCAGAGGCTGGCTAATGTGGTCCCTATTTTTAAGAAGGGGAGGAAGGAGGACCCAAGAAATGATAGGCCTGTAAGCCTCACCTCGGTGCTCGGGAAGCTCTTGGAGAGGATCATCAAGGAGCATATCTGTGGGGGGCCTGCAGGGGAGATCACGCTCAGGGGCAATCAGCATGGGTTCACCAAAGGCAGGTCCTGCCAGACCAACCTGATTGCCTTTTATGACCAATTAACTAAATCCTTGGATGATGGTGTTGCTGTGGACGTAGTCTTTCTAGAGTTTCAGAAGGCCTTTGACACTGTCTCTCAACCCATTCTCATCAATAAATTAAGTGACTGCAGCATTGATGCCTGCACAGTTGAATGGGTAAAAAGTGGCTGATGGGGTGCACCCAGAGAGTAGTGGTGGATGGGTTGTACTCAACCTGGTGAGATGTGAGCAGTGGGGTACCCCAGGGCTCGGTCCTTGGGCCCGCACTGTTTAACATCTTCATCAGCGACTTGGACAAGGGGGTGGAAAGCACGCTGTCCAAGTGTGCTGATGACACTAAGATGTGGGGTGAGGTAGACACACTTGAAGGGAGAGAGAGACTGCAACTAGATTTAGACAGACTACAAAAGTGGGCAGATGAGAATAGGATGGGGTTCAGCGTAGACAAATGCAGGGTGCTGTACCTTGGGAGAAGGAATCCACAGCATACATACAGGCTGGAGAGTTCCCTTCTTGAAAGCACAGAGGCAGAAAGGGATCTCGGAGTCATTATTGACTCCAAGATGAACATGAGCT